AAAAATTTCTAAATAATTTCACAGCGCCTTGGCTTATTACGAAGGCCATTTGTTGGTCCTTCAGAAAGGTATACCCGAGCCTAGGAGGGTGCAGGGTGCAGGGTGCAAGGGGCAGCGGCGTAACAGGTTGCCAGCCCATCACACAGGAGATTAGGCAGTCGAGAGAAGGAACATCTGCTGCCGCCTAGAGGCGAACGAGCCGGCGGGAGTGGCTTACCCTTTTTTTGTGAAGGGCGAAAGCGAAGAGGCCTCGATTTTTAAGCCTTGTCAGTCAGGCAGGAAGGACAGGACTAAGCCCAGGGTCTGCCCTGCCCTGCCAGATGGCTTTCAACCCCGCCCCGCCCCGCCCCCCTCGTGGCCGCTTTTGTACTTTGGAAAAAAGCAAATATTTGTATTTCAGCTTGAATGGCTGAACGATTGAACTGAGAGCGAAATTTGAACTGTAGCAAATCACACGCGTTTGATTGATGATTTGGCAGTGGGAGGGGGGGCTGTGGGGCTGTGGGGCCACCCCCAAAAAAAAGGAAAATCAAGGAAAAAAGGTTGAATGGGGCGTGCACATTCTCTCGTTGTGTATCTTTAATATTTGTACAGGGAAAAAAGAGAGAAATACCGGGGAGCCGGGCTTAGTTTCTGGCACACACACACACACACAAACACACACATAACTCACATTAATATGCATTGCTGATAAGGCAGCCGCCCATCAGACCAGAAAGCAGGGAAGAAGCTCCCTACAACGAGGGTTCGGGGGGTTCCGGGGCTTCCGGGGGGTTCCAAGGGAGATCCCCTTTAATCAAACAAAAGCAATAAATCAACGCAAACGAAATGAATTTTGATTGTCATTGATTTATGCGCATTGCAGTTGGGGAACAACGAACTTTTGTCCGTTTCCGTAGCACCGTAGCACCGTAACACCGTAACGTATAATGGGCACGATAATGACGACAGAGGGGCTGTCCAGGGCCGCCCACCCAGAAAAAACCAAAACCCATTAAGGGCGATTCAATCGAATGACAATTACAAATGAAGATGGCAAAAAAAGAGGCCCAAGAGTTTGAGCCATGTTTGAAAATAGTCTAGAATTTTTCGAGGAGGATTAGCAATGAGGAAATTTAAAGGAAAGGCCATCAGATTTGTACAAGTTGTGATAAAAGGCATCAAACGTTGACAAATTTGAAGGCATAGGCAAGATCGATGTGGGGATCAAAAGGATATGCTCCAGAAGCCCTATAGTCCAGGCTCTCATGTCCAGTCCGAGGAGCCGCTACGCCGGAGAGCCCCTCGAAATACCAGCCCCCTCTCTGCCTTTTGCCTCCCCCCTTTCTTCTGGCACTACGGCAACTTTCAACTACAACAAACTTGAGGCGCAACCTCCTGCCTTCCCGTGAAACCTATTTAACAACATTCTGGCAAAATGTCAGGCCGTCGGGCGAAAGTGAAAATTACATTTCAAAAGTAGTTGGCAAGTCGTCGGCTCTGCAGCTGCCTTTTGTTTTACTCTCCTACGTGACTCGTCCGATTTAGTGGCGGAGAGGAGTCGGAGAAGGATGGAGCATGTGGGGCCACCCACCGACAGACGCCCGAAGGACGCCATGAACTTTGCTGTGTTGAGGGCCCATTTGCGATGATTACACGGCGTATGAGTGATTTTAATTTAACGCCGACATAAACACACGAATGCATAGTGAACAGGGGGAGCCCCCTGGTAGGAATGGGGCGAGGGAGGGGAGGCTTTAAGTAGTTATGCAAATATCAGGCGCACTTTTGACCTGAAAAGTCAATAGGGAATACTCACACGGCCGCAGCAACATGAGGCCTGCCGCAGATGGGGAAATGGCTGTACTTATGGCCACACGCGAGCACTTCACTCAGGGGATGGTCCGCCGAGAAGGCGCCAGACCAGACCAGACCCAGGCGACGGGAGTGTCGGTTTCAATGTCAGCTGAGAACAGAGGGATCCTGGACAGATTATTTGGAGCTGTGGTAATGGAAAATACTGGAAAATCTACAAGAATCTAAATTTATTTTCATTTAATTGTAAATAAATCTTTAATAATTTTTTCGATTATGATGATGATGACGGAAATTATGAGGGAATGATGATAAACTCTTAAAAGTGAATCTGCATTCGATGGATTCATGGTTTCAATAATTTTGGAGGGCTTTATTCTGTAAATGTATTATTTATAGAGTAAAATTTAACTTTAACTGCAGGTATTTGCAAAGTCCTTTATATTGTTTAAAGATAAATACATTTGGAATGCCTGGAATAATATATGATGCCTAGAAAACCAAACGCTACCAAATGATATCGCATACGAGTCAAAGGCGAGACTTAGCCGGACAAAACGCGCGCTTTCATAGAAATATGAAATAGTATAGAAATATACTGCCAGTTTGTGGCAGTGAAAGTATCATGTATGATAGTTCGTAAACAAATCGTTTGTGCGCTTTTTGCGAGGCTTTTGCGAGCCTCTTGCGCGCCTTTTGGGGGCCTCTCGTTTGCTGGTTTGCTGGGAGGAGATCTAACCATACTTACCTTGAATCCGACCCCTTTGCTGGGTGCACACAGCTGACCGCCACCAGAAAAACAAGAAAACCAGAGAGAAAGAGCTAAAGAGAGAGAGAGAGAGAGAAATCGAATGGCGAGAGGAGTGTAAACTTAATTAAGAGCAGCCGAAGAGAGTTGATTTTGTTTGATTTACGCGCCAGCCGCTGCACGCTTTAATTATATAGATGTGTGCGGGGGGTCAGCAGGGACGGAGCGAGGTCAACTACGGGGCTCAAAGGAGATGGCCCTGACCCGAGCAGCCAGCTGTCGTTGATTACCCTCCAAAAAAGAAAGGAGGAAAGGATCCAGTCTCCGGCATTTCATGGCTCATTAGGCATGCACATACGTTTGGTGGCCCCGCTGTATCCTTCGGGCCCCGCCACCCTCCACCCTCTGCGAAATCGTAACAAATTCAATTTTCTACGACGCCGATTTGGTTTCCGCACGTCTTAAGCCATCGTCGGCTACAGTCGACGCCATGAATATAGTTATTGGCTGCAAGTGTTTGTCTAGCAGTCGGTTCTCCCTCTCTCTCTCTCTCTTACTCCCCCTCGGACCCAATACCGATTGCGCAGTAAAATAAATGATAAGAATCTGTGCGCTCTGCTCATGAATTACAAATCGCATAAAGGATTTGCCACTGGCTCAAGACAACGTGGCGCTGCTCCGGCAGCCCTCCCTGCAGCCTCCCTGCAGCTTGCACTGCCAACTGTTTGTTTTCCGGGGGGGGTGGAGGGTGATGGGGCGTGGGAGATGGTCTGGCCAACAGCTCGAGGCATGCCGAGCATCTCAATGCATGGTGGAGGCCCTTCCTTCAATGATTAGGATAAAATAAATGCATTAATAAACAGTGTTTGCTGTTGAATGGAATATCATTTAATGGGAAATGGGTTCTAGGATTTGGTTAAAGAAGGTTCTTCAAGGGAGGAATACTTGGATTTCCAATGAAGGCACTTCCTTCAAAGAAGCTTCTAATTACCTTTTTAACCTTTTAAGCTCCGATTAGCCTCGTTTTAATCTCGATATAAGACCAGGTAATGCCGCATTTTCCACTCTGAAAATGAACTCCCTTAAAAGGACCTTCAAAAATTATTCCAAATAAAAACATTCACTTTGTTTTTGTATTTTATAAAAAATGTAGAATTTGTCAGCTTCTTTATTAGGACTAATTATTAATTTCAATTACTTTTCGTTAGGACTAGTCGATTATTATTGGCTTCACACGAATCAGATGGGGGGTTCCCGATCGACGAACCCTTAAATGCTTAAATGCTCCGTAATACTAATCAATTTTTACACTGGATCTCCATCTCCATTTCCATTTCCATTTCCATTACATATTTTTACAGTGAGTCAAGGAGTTGCCTTTCTATATGGTAGAAAAAATTATTATCACCGTTTGTTTTTCTTGTCGAAACATTTTTAGGAAAATATGCCATTCTAAGTCTAGACTAGGTTCCGAAGTTTATACAATAGATTATTGTTCTTGGTAATTATTATTATTCCTTATTATTGGTATCGATCGATCCTTTGGTTTGGAAAAGTGGAAAACATGACAAGTCAAAGGCAAAAGGCAAAAGGGCAGGAGGACGCCTAGGCGTCTACCCATGTATAAGGAGGGCCTAAAGGACTACGTACTAGACGGGTAGAGTGGAAACGAAGAAACAGCCATTTTTGAAAATAGATGGATAAAAAAGCTTTTCCTGCGGCAGTCGTTTCGGTTAGTGGTATTTTCCCGTATCATTTTTTGTTATTGGTTTTATTTTTCCCTATTTTATTACAAGTTCTGATCCGCCCTCGACAAATTCCTTAGTTTCGGCGCTCATAAAACATCCTAAGGCCACATTTAATTTATTTATATTCCTATTTTTATAATACTCTTTTGCTCAGCGGATTACGAGTGGAAAAGGACTAGATCTAGTCAGGCTTTAGTTAAGAGTGGGGAGGATTAAAGGGAGAAGGGGTAAACCGAAAAAAGTGAAATTTAAAATTAAAAAGGGGAATAAGCAGAGAGTCGAATTTTTAAGAAATTCTAAGAAGGTTCATAAATTTTCAAGAATTTGAAGAAAATTAAACAAAAAAAAAAGATTAGAAAGTTTTAAAACATTTTTGAAAATTTAAAACACATTTTTTAGAAATTTAAAAAAAGAATTTTTAAAATTAAAAAAAAAATTTAAGAAATTTTAAAAAAAGGTTTAACAATTTAAAGAAAAATTTTAGAATTTAAGATATTTTTTTTTTTTTTAATTTAAAGAATTTTAAGAAATTTTCGAACTTTTAAAATCATAAAGAAACAAATTTTAAAAAAATATTTAATAAAATATAAAGTTTTAAGAAATATTGAAAATGTTTTCAGACTCCAAAATCATAAAATTATGAAGTTTAAAATATTAAAAAAAAAAGATATTTATCAAGCAAAAAATACAATAAAATGTTGATATTAATTCAAAAATATGTCTATATTAAATTTATATAATTTTAAAGCCATATATTTCGTAATATAAAGATAAAATATTCGAAGCAAATGGTTCAAAAACGACCGAAAGTATTATTTAAATCCTTTGGTTTTTGGGAGCACATAATTAGTGAAGGCAAGATAGTAGAGGGTGGTGTGGGGAGTCCTCCAAGTTCAGCGAGCTCTTAGTGGGCCAGATTTAATGGCCATAATTAGAATATCTAACCTAAACGTAAACCTAAGGCTAGAGGGAAATCCTGCACAAGCGTATAACTCAAACGGGCTGAAAGCTAATCGTAGTTACAAATGCGAACATACATATGTACATAGTATACAGGAGGAGGAGAGGGCACCCTTTGGCTCACCGCCCCCGCCCCCCATGGTCTGTGGCAAGTAAAAAGTGTCCACGCTCATTTCTCGGGATGCCGCAGGGGCTGGCAGGGGCTGGCAGGGCTGGCAGCATTATCATTATCACGCAACGACGGCAGCCATTGTGGATGTGGATGTGGATGTGGAGGATGATGTGGCGGCAACCTGAGAATGATGATGAGACTGCTGGTGGTGCTCCCTCTCCCTCTGGCCCTCGCCTGGCTGTTGATGGGAAATGTGATGGACCGGAAAGCTCCACAGAGCAAAAGGCATCTGCTGTTGCACCAACAAAAGCAGTTGCCGTAATTTGTTGGTCGTCGTTGTTGCCGTTGTGTCCTCTCCTGTTCCTGTTCTCCTGCTGCCATTCGTTGCCATTGCCGCACCTCCTCCACCTCCTGTGTCACTGGCAACTCCCAACTGGTTGCCGAGTGCCGCATCGCAGGCATCCATCGCATCCGTGTCGCTCCGCCGCCTGGCACAGCGCATCTGCATCTGCATCTGCACCAGCTGCAGCTCGCCGCGTCGTCATTCATCCCAGAGGCACTGTTGTTTCTGTCGGACATAATAGGTGAACTGTGTACACTTGCGGCAGGTCTTGATGCCGCAGCGATAATTCGTCTGCTGCTGCTGCTGGGCCCCGGACGAGTCCGCGCCGGCCCCCTTGCCCTTGCAGTACTTGAGGCCGCAGGGATACCAGCCAATGCACGTCTCCAGGGTGCACAGGCAGGGCGCCCAGAGGCTGCTCACTTCGTTGCAGCGCGTGGATAGCGTGTCCGGGAATTTCTCGGTGGCCGCCTCCAGGCTGGAGATCGACGAGCCTGCACGATGGTCCCAACAAAAAAGTGGGCAATATTTTAAGAGCTGTGTGTAAGGAAAAAATCAATTCGGTTCACCGAATATTGGCCGCCCAGGGGGAAATTTTCCACCTAAAAAGTACAACAAAATCCACACATTTGTGGTGCTCTCGAAAGCGCTTAAAATTTGGTAAAAAATTGGGTCCAATTTGAAGGCTAAAACGAGAATTCTCATCAGAAAGGGGAACACAAGGATGGGAGCCTGGTAATCGGTCTCTTTATTGTATAAAATAGTTTGGAATCGCCGTAGGACACGTGGATTCTTGAAAAATCGCAGTGCATTGTGGGTATTCTTTTGGTTGCTTTTGAAAATTTCATACGTTTATTTTATTATAAGAATTTGGGACTGGAATAGTGATATTTGAGACATAAAATAGAGGGTATTTGTTCTATAGAATCCGTTTGAGATGTGTGCGAGATGCGAGTGGGCAGGGGACCTATCTATGCACCTATGATGCGACTCTGACCAAGGCCCGCTTCCTACAACAAATAACACAGTCTTCGGTCTCCTTCCTCAAGCGAAAGCTTCAAAACGGAATGCCCAACAATCCAATAAAGACCAGGCATATTTTCTCCGACACTGGGACCGACTGCCAGTCCTCGCCAAAGACTGTATTTATTGTGGGATCCTAACAGGGACGCAGCTGCCCAAGGCATTGACGAACCGAGCAGGCAGCGGAGCCACGGAAAAGATATTGAAGCACCGTCGAACGAAAATAAAAATGGAATTTGTTCCGGATGCAATATATTGATATTTGTATAGTCGTTGGTTAAACACACACTCAAAGCGGATAATAAGTGACTTATGACCGAGGATTGGGACATGGTTTTACAACTAAACCGCTGGCATTTTGTCTCTTATGTATATGCAGACTTGCTTCAAACTCACCTGGCAACTCCGCCCAGGACTTGAGATCCACATCCCGGACATAGGTGGCGTCCATGGCCTCCGCGCAGATGGTCTGCAGGTGCCTCGTGATGGGCAGGGAACGGTTGAGCTGCACCCAGCTGCTCATCGTGTAGGTCTCGCGGCCCTTGTCCTCCTCGGGAGTGCGTATCGTGTGCGGGTTCTTCTGCCGCAGCTTGGCCATGGCGGCCGAGGAGATGAAGTCCCCCTTGTTGAACTTGGTGGCGAAGCACATGACCTGGTACTGGCTCTGGCCGCGCTCCTCCTCGCCGAGCACCAGGGCCTTGAGGATTTGAACCTCCTGGAATGGCACGGGAGTAAAGGGGAAGAAAGGAATGAGGTTTCTGAAGCAGAGGAGTGGTTGGGACTCGGATTCCTTCCACTTCCGTGGTCATGTGGGGGATACTTACATTGCGGAAGTCTATCACTTGGGTGATGAGGGTACCGTCGGTCTTCTGGAACTCGAGCGTAATCAGGTCCTCGCCAATATTGGAGGTGATGCTCTCCTGAATCACCTCGCCGCCCTGCAAAGGCCCGTTAGAGAGCAACAAGTGTTAGAATGGGCCTTAAGAACACTTCTTCGGTGCCCCCCACCCACTAGAATATTAATAAAGCACTGAGAACCGAGCACTGTTCGGGCTGGGGGTCTCTCTGGGGTTGTCGTCGGTTCTTAAATTAACTATGACAGCTCCTGCCGCTGGAAGCAGGGCGGCCCTGAACCGAATTAGAGTCAAGAGACTTGAAAAATAGCAAAAGGAACGAAGCCGAAACGAAACGGAGATGGGAAATGTAAAGAAGAAGAAGAAGCAGGGTCAACTGCACCGCACAATCTCTCCCTCTCTCTCCCTCTCACTCGCAAAAAGTGTGCCCTTTGCACGTGCCTGTGTGTGTGTGTGTGTGTACATGAGCAAACATGTTGTTGTGTTGGTATTGTTCTTGCTGCCTCGCCGCTGCTTGGCTTTCCTTGTGTTTGCACAAAAGCACATGCAAACAAAGCAGTGCAGAGTAGAGCAGTGCAGAGTGGACATTTTTGGGCCACGGACAGCACGCGGCAACAATGAAGAATGTCACATGTAAACACACACATGCACACGCACACACACACACACACGGCTGGGTACAGGGTGTCCTCCGTTTTTGGCAATCTCATCTAAAATTAATCGAAAAACCCAAAGGCACAGGGGGAAATCACTGCTCAACAATTATGAACTGCTTTATGCAAATATTTTATACAAGAAAATCAAATTTCAGTGCTTGTCGTTGTTTATTTCTGTTCTCTCTCCCATTTGTTTTTGGCTTTTGGCGCGCTCCCCTCTAGTCCGGGTGTCGCCATTTGTTTATACAATGCTGCTCTGCTCTGCTCTGCTTCTATTCTTGGTTTCTTGGTGTTCATTTTGCTTAGAGATCATCTGCGCCAATTGATGGAGGTTTATCTAGTTCTTCATCGGTTCCGGGCATAGCCGGACTTTGTTCCATGGGAAATACTTCCTCTTTAGCCTCTGTTTCTTCTTCTTTCGGCTGCTTGGCAGCCGCCTGGTCCGACGATTCCCCGGGACGCACCTGATTCTGGACGTTGATGAGCAGCTGTGCCTGCGCCCCGCCGCTGCCGCCTGAGATTAGCAGGTTGCAGATCACGAACCAAAGGAAGCCGCGGCTGTGCTTGAAGAAGTGGTGGCGATTCACTAGGCGGCCATCGCAGAAGCGCCTCTGCAGCCCCTTGCCCAACATGTTGAAGGGGGCCAGCGCCCGGTGGTGGTTCAAGCGCCATCTGGTCTGGCGCACTTTCTGGGCCAGGTCGGCCATGGCCTCCTGACTTGTTTCCCCTTCCAAAATCATTGTCGCTCCTTCACTTGGTGGTCTGCTTAGCGGCGAACTTGCTTTTATTTTTGTTTTTTTTTTTTCCGAAAACGACGTGATTAAATTATATTTTTGAATGCGAAAAACAAAATGCGTCTGACAGTACCGCTCGCCAGAAACTTGACGTTTTGATGTTGATGTTTCAACGGACTTTTCTGAACTCAGAAAATAACTCGACTCGACGCTATTCTCTATTTTGTTGTTGTTGCGCGGCCGAATTTCGCATTTTGGTTTTGTCCGAACTTCTGAACGTGTCCGCGACGTGTTTTGGGATTTTCGAGGTGTTAGTGTTGAGTGTGACCAGTCTGTGGAATCGAGGGCATACCATGTAGCTGTACATGTTTGGCGGTTTCTTGGGAAAAATATTGCTGGGCAACATGAGGCTAGAATCAGTGCTGCCAGAATTTCCGAGTCGCTACAAGCAATAAATATGCTGAAAAATATGCACTCAAAAATAATACATGTGTGAGTTTATTTGGAAAATATGCTTAACAGCTTATATAAGATATTTGATAATTAATAAAATGCTAAATCTAGCCTGAAAAATGCTAAACTGCCAGCGGTGGATAGGCTCGCGTGGGCCTTGAAATGTTGCTGGGCGTGGACACATGCTGCTGACTTATGTTGCAGCTGTGCAAAAAAAAACCAAAATAAATTACTCCATTTTTAGAGACATTTTCTTAGTGTGATTGTTACTGATATGAAATATAGTATATTTCTAAAATATTCGAAAATACTGTGTTTGGTATTATCGCCGCCTGCGTGCACACTATTTCCACAGCTGTTGCACACTTTCTTCACACTAACTTTGCCCAAACGCTTGTGGGCAGTGCTGCCAGATGATCAGTGTAACCATAGGCTATAGGCGAAAAAAAGCCAAAGCTAGCATTAAAAATGCCAGATCTAGCCTGAAACATGCTAAACTGGCACCACTGCGTGTGACGTGTTGTTTTTTGTAAAATATGTTTTCTATCCATTGAAAGAGAAATAATTGATAAACCAGTCGCTGCTATTGCCAATTTTCACCGGGACCCACGCACCAAACACCATGTTGACCCTAAGGGAGCGCCAAATAAGTAAATAAACTAGAATTGTGGCTGTGCAGAATATCAATTGACTAATTTGCCTCCTCACGCAGATGCCATTAAGCAAATGCTTAATTTAAATTCGCAGCAGCCCAAGGCCCTGGCCGCGGAGCCCGTTTGGAAGATCCTCATCTACGACCGCGTGGGACAGGACATCATCTCGCCGGTCATCTCCATCAAGGAGCTGCGCGAACTGGGCGTGACACTGCATGTGTGAGTGGCGCGGACCCGTGGGTCCATTAGTCACAGTATACTCAAATAAGCATGATTCCCTCTACATAGACAACTCCATTCGGATCGCGACTCCATACCGGACGTGCCGGCCATCTACTTCTGCCTGCCCACCGACGAGAATCTCGATCGCATCCAGCAGGACTTCTCCAACGGCCTGTACGACATCTATCACCTGAACTTCCTGGCGCCCATTACGCGCACCAAGATCGAGAACCTGGCCGCCGCCGCCCTGCACGCCGGCTGCGTGGCCAACATCCACCGGATGTACGACCAGTACGTGAATTTCATCAGCCTGGAGGACGACTTTTTCGTGCTGAAGCACCAGCAGAGCGACCAGCTGTCTTACTACGCCATCAACCGGGCCAACACGCGCGACGAGGAGATGGTGGCGCTGATGGACTCCATCGTGGACTCCCTCTTCGCACTGTTCGTCACTCTGGGCAACGTGCCCATCATCCGCTGTCCGCGGAACAGTGCCGCCGAGATGGTGGCCCGGAAGCTGGAGAAGAAGCTGCGCGAGAACCTCTGGGACGCGCGCGCCAATCTGTTCCACATGGACGCCACCCAGGCCGGCGGCGGAGTGTTCAGCTTCCAGCGGCCCGTGCTGCTGCTGCTGGACCGGAATGTGGACCTGGCCACGCCGCTGCACCACACATGGTCGTACCAGGCGCTGGTCCACGATGTTCTCGACCTGGGCCTGAACCTGGTCTACGTCGAGGACGAGGCGTCGGGAGGTAGCTTTCCGCAGCTTTGCTTCTTTAATCGAATTACATCTATGAAATGTTTGCAGGGGCCCGAAAGAAGCCGAAGGCCTGTGATCTGGACCGCAACGATCGCTTCTGGATGACCCACAAGGGCAGTCCCTTCCCCACGGTGGCCGAGGCCATCCAGGAGGAGCTGGAGTCCTACCGGAACTCGGAGGAGGAGATCAAGCGTCTCAAGACCTCGATGGGCATGGAGGGGGAGTCGGACATTGCCTTCTCGCTGGTCAACGACACGACGACGCGCCTCACCAACGCCGTCAACTCGCTGCCGCAGCTGATGGAGAAGAAGCGGCTGATCGACATGCACACCAAGATTGCCACAGCCATCCTTAACTACATCAAGGCGCGCCGCCTGGACTCGTACTTTGAGATCGAGGAGAAGGTCATGTCGAAGCAGACGCTGGACAAGCCGCTGCTGGAGCTGCTGCGCGACCCGGAGTTTGGCCAGCCGGAGGACAAGCTGCGGCTGTACATCATCTACTACATCTGCGCCCAGCAGCTGCCCGAGTCCGAGGTGGAGCGGCTCAAGGAGGCCCTGCAGGCCGCCGGCTGTGACCTGACCGCCCTGGCCTACGTGCAGCGCTGGAAGGCGCTCATGAATCGCTCGCCGGGCATCAGCCAAGCCACCCAGTACGAGGGCGGCGGCACCAAAACCGTTTCCATGTTCACCAAACTTGTCTCGCAGGGCAGCTCCTTCGTCATGGAGGGCGTCAAGAATCTGGTTGTGAAGCGGCACGTGAGTAAAGCCACAAAATCTCCTCGAAAGCGTTAATTTCCAGCTGTCTTGTTGCTTCTGCAGAACCTGCCGGTCACCAAGATCACGGAGCAGGTGATGGAGTGCCGCAGCAATGCCGAAACAGATGACTATCTGTATCTGGACCCCAAGCTGCTGAAGGGCGGCGATGTCCTGCCCAAGAACCGTGCCCCATTCCAGGACGCCGTCGTCTTCATGGTCGGCGGCGGCAACTACATCGAGTACCAGAATCTGGTGGACTTTATCAAGCAGAAGCAGACGTCCAACGTGCAGAGGCGCATCATCTACGGCGCCTCCACGCTGACCAACGCGAGGCAGTTCCTCAAGGAGCTCTCAGCCCTGGGCGGCGAGATCCAATCCCCCGCGACGACTAGTTAGGAGCGGCTGCTCCGATTCCATTGCTGCTGAGCGAGCAACTGGACAGGGACTGGGAGGGCAGGACAGGACAGGACTGGGCTGGGCTGGACTGGGCTGGGCTTCTTTCTTTTTACTTTAAGAATATCCAAAAATAAATTAAATGCAAGGCAAAACAAAAAAAAAACGACGAAGATGAGGAACTCCACACTCGGCAATTACTCCAACCTGACGCTTAATCCCCGAAGGACAACAAGCAAAAACACGCGTAGTCCCGTGTACAACAAGCCCGGGGAGGGGCGGCGCGGTGCGACGCGGGCACTCGCATTCTAGGCACCCATTAACACCAACTTGGCAACGCTTTGATGGACAGCTGACAGACAGCCAGTCAACGACTGAGGCGATGATGGGCCCTGCCTGACGCCTGATGCCTGACGCTTGCTTCTCAATGCCCTTCATGGTGACGCTGACGGCGGCGGCCTCGGCTACAATTATGGGGCGACAACTATGCGCGGCACTTGGGGACAGGCATAGGCACAGGCACAGCACAGGGATAGGGTTGTAGGGACAGGCCTTAGCAATTAGCACTATCCCTGGCGATCTATGAATGGAGCAGAATGGAGCACTGAACTGATTGAAAGTCGCTGGGTTGACTGGACTGGACTGGTGACTGGTGTGGATTGTGCGGATTGTGGAGAGGCTGTCACCAAGCACCATCAAATTATCCATCTAACTGGAGTTCGCGAACGATGTGGATGTGGATACCTGGCTAGGCCTTATGGTTCGAGCTGACAATCATACGAAATCAGACACATAAAGTGTGTATTCGGGTTAGTCTACAAATAGATGGCTAAATCGTTTAAAGCGATACGGGTAAAACATGGAAAACCCGTGGAAAAGGTACACCGAAAATAATAGCTATGACAAAGGTGAATTGATGGCCACGAAAGTGATTAGAAAATGTTGGAAAACGGTCATTAAACTAGGAAAGAACTACCTTTAAATAGTTCAAGAGAGTGATCCAGATAGAAGCCTAAAGTAATGAGATGTCTATCATCCCTAAAGGAATGGTTACTGGTGCCAAAAAGGAGTAACATATGAACAGGAATTGCACGTTTAAAACGCTCTGCAAACAAATTTCGAATGAGCCAATCAGTAAATCGTTTGAAATGCTCATCAAAATATGGTCTAAACTGTAAATCTGTGGACTTAATGGCTAACAAATATGGCTGATATGGAAATCGATTGGATATGCCCCGATAGTATATTAAATTAATAAAAACTTAATTTAGTTCGAATTAGTAATTATATTTTGAGTGGAAGCTTAGTTTTTGTAGCAAGTTTAGTTGTAATATACTCGAATATTAGTGATTAATACGCCGCGCGTCATGCAGCAGTGCCCCTCGGTCGCTTGGGCTGGGTTAGGACGCGTAACAGCCTTCTGCTGGTGTCTCGCAGACCACTTGATGGTTCAGTCCATTGCATATCAAAATCCAGAACATAAACTCTCCATATCACACTAATTCCAAACTTTTACCTTTGACCTGTTGAACCCTCAAGCAAAAATCGATGGCTAAAAAGCTTCGTTTAAAGCGAGGCCCCACTGTTAAACAGTTTCCCGAGCTGAGGAAGCAAACAAGATTGAGGAGAAAAAACCGTACCGAACCGAGTCGATCCGATCCGTTTCGATCCGTAGCCTAATTAACACTTTTGGTAAATCAGAATTGATGGCCCTGCTGAAAGGCCGCAGAAGAGATGATGACGCTGACGATGACGATGACGACGATTATTCATGGAGCGTTGAGCTTAAATATTGGTTTTGGTTGGGTTGGAACCCAGGGCGAAGGGCGAAGGCGAAGGGGGGGAACTTGGGTTGGGTTTGGTTACTATCCCGACTACCCGTGGCCACAATTTAAATGTTAACATAAACAAGAGCAATTTAACAAAGGCCAAGAGACCCCACCAACCACACGAAAGAGAGAAAAAAAAGAACCAAAATACCAAAAAAAAAGAAGAAAAAACCAAGTCAAACTCTGGCCCAAAAACTGGTAACCCAAAGTGATTTCACGGGTGGTCCGAAAAAGATGCGGCTCAAACAAATCATAAA